TACGGAGTGTAAGGCAGTTCTAGGCGCGTCTGGGATCCAGCGCCACTACTGCCGCTGCCGTCCCAGGATTCTGTAGGGGTTGGGGTGCACAAACACAGACGGAGAAAGAAACCATAAAAACGGGGGTTTCTCCCCTCTCTGTCGTTTCTGTTTCTGGAGCTCTCTCTGAGCTCATGCTCACTCCTAGTTCCCGAGTTAGGTTTAGTTCCGCATGAGGAATAGCATAAGAAAAGAAGATCAAGTCACCATCAGCTCAGTGGCCATTTAGATTTTCGTGTTCTTTTCTAAACTTTCTGCTGCTATTTTCTTTTCAGCGTGCTCGTGCACCTTGTCCGGGTTTTAGGTCTGTATCAGGGGCAGAGACGGTGATGCATGCTTCCTCCACGGTACCCGAAATGTAAACCCATGTTGTTGTTTTTGCTCAATTTACTAATTAATGAGGAAGTCAGTAAGATATTAATACTGGATCAAAGAACATTCAAGGTACAAGGTATTCATGTCAAATTTAATAAAGAAATACGGGACCAGCAGTTAGTGTAATGGCTATGTCGCTGAACTCCCATGTAGTCGACCACAGTTCGAGTCCCAAACCCAGTGGCTTAAACTCACGCTGGGCGTGTGTGCGTGCGTGCCCAAGATCCTGAGAGGAGAATGGAGAAGAAGGGATTGCGGAGTGGCCATTCCCCCTGGGGGTGTGATTTCTCGCTTTCTGTCTCTCTGTCTCTCTCTCTGTCTTTCTGGTGAGCGCATGTACCCTACAGCAAAAACCTCTCAAAAAAAAACAATTTAATAAAGAAATACTAGAAAAAGATTGCTGAACTCCCTACCCAACTATTACAGTTAACATCCTACAGTATAGTAAACTTTAATCTTTGAGAGTATCTTTTCCATCTGACGGAAATTATTTGCATCACTGTTAAACAAAAATCTACATGTTAACTATGAATAATATCTCTTTAAGTCCAAAACTTTTCATTAAAAATAAACAGTATGGGCCAGCAGGTGGCCTTGTCGGTAAAGCACTGAAATCCCACATGCCAACTGCAGTTCAAGTCCTGAACCTGGCAGATTGCTTTCTCACTTTCTCTCTCTCTCTGGTGAGCACACATACCTTGTAGCAAAATTTAAAACATGATTAGAAGAATAAAATTAAACACATAATTCTTTTTTTTTTTTTTTGGAGAGGTTTTTGCTATAGGGCGCGTGCACTCACCAGACAGAGAGAGACATAGAGACAGAAAGTGAGAAATCACCCCCCAGGGGGGATGGTCATGCCCCAATCCCTTCTCCTCTCGGGATCTTGGGCACGCACGCACACGTGCCCGGCATGAGTTTTAAGCCACCAGGTCCGGGACGCAAACCGCAGTCGACCACATGGGAGTCCAGCGACATAGCCATTACTCTGACTGCTGGTTCCCAACACATAATTCTTATAAAAAAAAAAAAAAGTACTTTTACTGTAAGTAAATCCCACTTTTACCAAGTACAGAGCTAAGTACATTTTCCTTGATAAATTTTAGATGAATCTTTGCCCTGTATGACTTCCAGATTATGCACTCTTCTTATTTTGTTTTTTGCTTTATTTCTATTTTTTGGATGATTTAAAAAAAATAGTTATCCAAATCCTTTTTGCAGAAGGTCTCAACTGAAGCAAAAAATGATATAAAACTGCTTAGCCCCCTGAGAAGATAACCCAACTATTTTCCCATTCAATAAATAATTATTATATATCCACTATGTGCCAGACACCTTGCTAGGCAATTGTGCAGGAACCCAGTATGTGGTTTTTGGAATATATAACCACTGCATCGTGTCCTTTCCTACATAATGTAGACTCCAAAAATGAGAATTTGAAAACACACATTGTGTGGTTATTTCTGTGCTGTTCTTCTGAGAAACTCGGAGAGCAGCATTTGTTCCTTTGCTTAGCAGAAGATACGATTTTTGATTACTGTTGTCTTGTTGTTTGTTTACTTTCAAAGGAAAGGCAGAGGGAAAAAGGAAGAGGAAAAAGTGAAAGAGGAGGAAGAGGTTCTGGCAGTACCAAAACTGACTGGCGAAGGCAGCGTGGATAAAGAGTGGTGCCCGCCCTTTGACCCCGATTTCTGTGCTTATGTGAACGAGGTGACCAAATCCATACTGCCCATAACCAATGTTAAGGAGCAGATCGAAGTTCTTGCCAGGTAGGTTGTCTGTTTTCTTTTTTCTTTCTTTTTTTTTATTTTTTTATTTTAGGGCTTGGCTGATTTTAAGCCAAGTTTTAGAAAGTAATAAAATTGACCTTTACAACACTCTGTCTGACTCTGAAATAAAATCACAATGAATGAACAAGCTCTTGGTTTTCATTTTAGGTCATTTTTTTTCCTACCAAAGAACAAAGCTAGAAGCTAGAACTTTCATAAGAAAAATGCCTGTCATTTTCTCTGGCTAAACCATTACAACCATTAAAAGGATCACCTTTCAATGTGATCCCAAAGAAGTTATGAATGAATCAGAAGTTTGAAAGTTTAATTGTTCGTGAGGGGTACTACTGGGTGCTCAAATTTCAAAGGAATCCTATTGCGAATTAATTACAGGATTCATGAATTATTGTAAACTCACAAATGATTTTCTAATGTAAATGACCATCTTCTATTCTTCTGGTATGCATCTGGTATTTTCTGCTTCATGTTGCCCTAGAGTGGGGTGTGGGCATTCCAAGGGATGGCTGCTTGGGCAGGCTGAGGGCTCTGCGTAAGCCAGTGACGTTGCCCTCGCCAATAGCATTTACTCTGATTCCACCAAGAGAAGGCCGAGAAATTGACTCAGTCGCTGCCGGAGATCCGGGATCGCCAGTAATGGAGGACAGGCTTTGTGATCGACACCACGCAGTAGGTGAGCGGCTGGCTGGCGCAGCAGCTGCAGTCTCTATGGGAGTTTGTCTCTACTCCAAATAGAAGTGAGTTGCAGTCATCAACCCTGGAGGTGACAACTGCAAGTGACACAGCTGCCAGATCATTGACTTCCTGTCAGCCAGAACTGGAAGAACACATTTTTGGCTGCAAAAGTGTTCCTGATGTCCTTGAGAAGTGATGACTCAAGCAGAACTGTGGTGCGGCTCACATGAACATTTGTCAAGTTTCCTCATGCTTTGTTTCGATCAGAAATACTTTTCATCATTCCCAAGTCATTATCTCTTAGTAACCTGAGCCCACACCAGTCTAGAGAGAGCATGGCAGAGATTTGTCCCCATAGCTTTGGTTCCTTGGCATTCGTTAGAGAATCCCTGGATGGAGAGAACTGCAGAGCCGTTCGACAGCTATCTCCCCAGCTCTTTGGCTATTTTTTTTTAAAGATATGCCAATGGGGGCCAGCAGGTGGCATGGTGGTTGGGGGCGCTGGACTCCCAACTGGATATATATATATATATATATAAAACAGTGGGCACGTGTGCTTGCCAAAAAGTGATAGAAACAGAGAGAGTGGGAGAGAGAGAGAGTATCCCCCAACAGTATGTGGCCATGCCACAATACTTTCCACTTCACCATCCTGCTGGGATTTGGGGCACACACGCACATGTATGTGTATTTCTTAAGCTGTTTGGTCTGGAACTCAAACCCCACACAGTTGGTCATGTGGGATTCAGCTCCCTTAACCACCAGGCCACAGGGCCAACCTTCTATCTATCTATCTATCTGTTTGTTTATTTTTTAACCACTGTTCTCCTGTGCTTGGCTTCACATCAAGCAAGAGGAAGCCTTTTCAAATCAGTGGTTCTGCCTTTACTTGAAGAGCTTGGCAGCCTTGGTGGACCGGGCGTGGTCACAGGCACATTTACTGCCTTGATCAGCGAGGCCTGAATGTCCGGTGAAACCCACGGGCAAAGTATACCACGCTCCGCCTGTGTCCCCTCTCATCTGTTAGATCTTTTCCTTTTTGCCTCTTCCTTCTCTTCTTCCTTTCACCTAATTAAAAACCAAAAACAAAAACAACTTTTGAAAATTATAAAATTTGAAGATGTTTGTGAATGTGATGGGAAACTTTTCTTGTGTTTGTCTTGTCTTCGTCTTGTCTTGTTCTTCTTGAAAGAAGAACCACATGTTAGTGCAACGCTCTGAATTGCAGATTAAAACATTGAAAACTGCTTTTCAAGAGTAAGTTAAAATTTTAAAACTGCATTTAGTGTGATGTGTATCTTATTAAAAATATTGGCAAAATTAGCCTTTATCATCTCTAAATCAAGGAAATAGCTAGAATTTCATTTTATATCTGATGTTTTTGAATGCAGTATGCATGATGTTAACCTCTATTTTAAGCATATTTTTTAAAGTAAAGTGAACAATAAACGTCAGAGTGCAGCCTGCACAGGTTGTAATTTTATAAATAATTATACTTAAAGCATCCAAGATGAGATATTAAACTTGGTTGATTTCATCTCATCATAATCGGCACAGGTATGTGGCAGAAAAAATGGGCGGGAAGATTCCAAAAGAGAAGCTACATGACTTCAGCTGGGAACTTCACATAAGTGAACTAAAATTTCAGCTTAAATCCAACGTGGTACCAATCGGACAGATCAAAAAAGGAATCTTCTACCATCGAGCCTTGCTTTTCAAGGTATTTAAAATATTTGGCCTCATTTGCCAATCGGTAAAAAAGTTTTGTCTTTATTGTATTGGCGTCAGACACTAACATTTCAATGGATCATATTCATCCTATCCCTTAGATGCACTTATATTGTATTTGACATGTATATGTGCATATATACAAATACACACACACACACGCCTGCATATATATTCACAAAGTATACCACACTCAGCCTGTGTCCCCTCTCATCTGTTAGGTCTTTTCCTTTTTGCCTCTTCCTTCTCTTCTTCCTTTCTCCTAATTAAAAAAAAAGAAAAAAAAACTTTTAAAAATAATAAAAGTATAAAATTTGATGTGAAAAAAAGAAAAAAAAAACTTTTAAAAATAATAAAATTATAAAATTTGATGTCTGTGAATCTGATGGGAAAGTTTTCTTGTGTTTGCCTTGTCTCTGTCTTGTATCATACCCCTTCCATTGACCAGGGCCTGGGGGTATGGAGATACCAAAGTGAGGTCCCCGTAGGCAAAGGTACCTAGGTCAGACTCGCAGGTTCCCAGGTGACGTCAGGGAAGGTTTCAGAGAAGGAAGTGATGCGTAGCCTGAGTGTTAGCAGCTACCTATAACTTCACCAGTGAAAAAAGGAAGACAAGTGGGCCAGATGGTGGTGCAGCCATAAAATGCAATGCTCTGTGAGGCATTCTCACATGGGAAGGTTCCTGGTTCAAGCCCAGAGACCTCCTTGAGTACTTTAGGCATGCACTTGCCCATGACCCAGGGCTGGCTGAGGACTAGGGATGGGTCATGACATCAAGTCCCTGTTTGGAGGCTGTCTCTCTCTGTCTCTTTCTGTCTCTCTCTCCATCTCTCTCTCTCTCACACACACACATAGATATGTACCTTCCCTCTCTCCCATTCATGGAAGAAACAAATAAACTTTAAAAAGAAAAACAAGAGGAGGGGTTATGTGAGGCTTAAGGTTCAGATCACAAATCATGCAAGTTTGTACTTCATCCTAAAATCTAAGAACAGCCACTAGAAGTCATCAAGGGGACCAGGGCGATGTGATTTTGGAAGATCATTCGGATAACAGAATGGAGAACGAGTTAGATTCAGGGGGAGGGCTGGAGCCGGGAGACCAAGTAGAAGGCCCGGGGGCGAGAAGTGTGGATAACGTGTACTAAACACATGTCCGTGGACGTGGAAGAGGGGCCGAGTTTAGAGGAAAGTTCAGCGGATATATCCAGAAGTTGGTGGGAGGGCAAAGACTGCACACGAAGAACAAAATGAATGCAGGCTCTGGGCAGGGTCACTGGGTGATGGTGTCGTCCCCAAGAAGGGGACACTAGAGAGGATCAGGTTTGAGAGAGGGGCTGATCTTTTCGCCCATTTTATCCCGTGTCTGGCATACTATGGAAGCTGAGAAAACGTTTTCTGAAGTACAGATTGAACGTCTGTAATTTTCCCCCGCTCCCAAGTATCTCTACACTTCATTTCATCCTGCACATCCTCCAAGTCCAAGCTCATTCTACTTGGAACCCCAAGGCCAGCCTCCCCAAGGTTTTACTCTCTCAATTCTTCCTTTCCTCCTGGCAATCTTACATCTCATTTCTCTCTACTAGCTGCTTCCCTTTTAAAATCGAAACATGCTTGAGTCTACACTCGTCAAAGACAAAAATACAGATCTTTTTTCATAATACCCAGCAACACCACCATCGCTAATTACCATGATCATCATCATTCTGAGTTATACGCCAGACATTTGCTAAATATCATAGATTCCAATGACGACCCTTGCTTTGGAGATACTTGGAGAAATCATTTATCTGAGATCAACCAGAGATGGAGCCGGAATTCACACTCAGCCTTTTCTGAATTAAAAACCTGCCACGCTGTTTCTACCCATTGCTAATTCCCTTTCCTGGTCAAGTTCGGAGTCATCTTAGCTCCTGTCTCTCCTCGCCACAGCTCCCTCTTCTAACACACCGCTGCTTGGCCTTTGCTCCAGCTTCTCTCTGTAAGGACCACAGCGATCTCTTCATTGTCTGTCTTGCTTTATTTGTCCAAGAATTAACCATTTTTTTTCTTTAATATCCTCTCCAGTTATTTTTGTCTTCTGAGTTATCTCACCTCAACCCCTCTCTTAAATGTTTTGGTTCTTCGAAGTTCTGACACTTCTGTTCTCTTTTCACGTGTGTCGCAGAGTGAGGTCTTAAACGCTACCCAAATGCCCAAGGCTGACACATCCTTCCCATCATCTCTCAAGCCTCTCCTGAGCCCAGGTCTGTGCATCTGATTACCCTCCAGCGAGCTCCACCGGAGTGTCTCATAGGCAAAGCGTTGGTCTGCTTGGGCTGCTGTAACAAAATACCATAGACTTGGGGCTTACGCAGTAACCATTTATTTTTCACAGTTCTGGAGGCTGGGAAGCCCAAGCCCAAGGCAGCAGCAGAGTTAGTGCGTGGTGAGGGCCCACTTCCAGGTTTATGGACAGCTCCTTTCTTGCCGTGTCCCCTCATGGCAGACAGGCAGGACTCTGGTCTCTTCCTCTTCTTAGAAAGGACCTAACTCCATCATAGGGTTCCACCCTCAGACCCTCATCTAAACCTAATCACCTCCTCAAACTCTTAGCTCCAAATACCATCACACTGGGGATTAAAGCTTCAACATCTGAATGTTGGGGAGACACAAACATTCAATCCGTAATTCATTGTGTCAAACTAACCTTGTTACCTTCACACCTTAACTGAGTCAATTAACTACTCAGAATTCTCCCACCAGTGCAGTCCTAAACACCAGTGCTCACTGATAAAATCCTTTATCCTGGGGCCAGCAGATAGTGTAGCAGTTACATTGCTGACTGTAGTTCGAGTCCCCGACCTGGTGGCTTGAAAAATCACATCAGGTACGTGTTTGCAAAATCCTGAGAGGAGAAAGGATGATAAAGGATTGTGGCGTGGCCATCTCCATGGGAGGTGATTTCTTGTTTTCTGCCTCTCTCTCTCTCTGGCAAGTGCATGTGCCTTAAGACAAAAATCTCTAAATAAAACATCCTTTATCCTTTCTAAATCTTTTAAAATTAATATTTTTTCTCTGAGAGAGAGAAAGGGAGAGCTCCCTCAACAAGGTCTTGATGCCATGATCCCCTCTCCCCACAGCCTCTGACTAGCCTTGGTCATGGACACATGCATGCCTGTGTGCTCAGGGAGGTCTCCAGACTCGAAACTGGAACCTTCCCATTTGTGTCAGCCCCTCAGAGTGTCCTGTTTTTACCTCTGAGCCATTGTCTGGCCCCCGTTCCTGAATCTTTCAGTCCTCCTACACGGACTCTGTATCTTGCCCATTTTTTTTCCTGTATCTTTACCCCATTTGGCTTTGCTTTCCCCCAGGCAGCCTAGATCAATCACCCATAACCCATGGAAGTCACTTACAAAATTCCCTCATGCTTTGCCTTCCATCCTTCCACCCCTCGGCCTCGCCAGCCAGCCCGACCAAAGCAATGGAAGAATCTAATCCTTCCCACTCTTACTCACAGGCTACAGAACATGGCAGCAGAGAGGGCCACAGCAGGGTCATGGTGCCCAGCCTCGGGTGGACATGCGTGCTTCCCGGTCACCCTGCTCCAGCTCCTCACAGAGGCCGTGTTCTATTTTCCCCACGGCTATGCCCACATCTGCCCTCT